TAAAAATACAACCGCCATTTGTTTGCGTATTTTTGTTTCAGTGCTGCCTGTTTCTTCTGTTGAGTTGAACTAACTGTGCCAATGACATTTTATCCGCAAGAGTCGCTCGGTGGAAGTATCTGTTGCGAAGTAACACGTCAAATGACCCGTATAACTGGGTCCAAAAAGCACACTACCCCGTGATCAAGAGCAAATGGAGACACACGTACTAAAGTTTCGACGGCTGTCATCCGCTGACACATTCCGACAGAAAAGCTACCTAATAAACTGTAGCTAAACAACGAAAGACCAGGTAAGCAGTTTGGTCGAATAAATTGATGAGCCATCGATTTAGTGCTCAATAATCATCCCACAGACTCTATATCTAAAATCCAAAGGAGACAACATTGATGATCTAGTGAAGCAGCCGTTAAGTGAACCTACTACGTTGCCAAACCTATAGTCATCTACAATCACAACGGAATCCCCACCCCTCCAGTCAAAATTATATCCCTTTAGCATGCCACCTCTAACCTTGTTTGTCGTTTTAGGTGTGTGTGCGCGCCCCCTACCTTGGCGGGCTTGAGGCAACTTAGCTAAGTGAAAGACATCCCGTTTTTATACAGCAGCGTATTGATCACTCTGACCACTCAAGCCCAAGTACAAATTAGAATCCGAAAGCAAGTGAGTGATGTCGGGCTCATCGATAACCCGCTATTTATTTGGCTTGGGCAACCTGGCAGTATCCTAGGTGGCATGACAGTGAGGCACCGAAAGGGTGCTACAGCTGAATGGTCTATAGATTTACTTGAAATTTAGCACTAAGTCAATCCGGCAGCTGCATTCCATTTGATGTACGGAACTACGAACAGTAAGGTGCTACATCTTGCTGAATCTGTTTCTGCCAGAACTAACCTGCTTACAATAGTAAAGACTCTTGTCGTTTTGTTTGCGTTCATCTAACGTTGTTCTGTAGTATAAACACGATAAAATACAGCGAAATACGTCCAGTATATGGTACAATGGCTTGAAATAATGCTCGCGGAAAATAACTTAGCGGCGCCAGGAGGCAAACTGCGACGCATAATGCGCACGATTTAAAAGCCCAAAACAATCGTTTCCTCTAACAGATGATTTGTACTCGGGCATATGGTTGAGAATTTGGACAAACGAACCCAATAGCATGCACCGAGTCCTTTCAGCTGTCCTCACTCGTTTGCTCCACGGATATCCAACTTGTATCAATTATTCAGATTCGTTTGAATGCAGGTCGGTCTGGTTTTTCAATGGTAAACCGCGTACTAGTATAGCATTATCACTGAGATAAAATTGTTACCTTTATTCTCACCGAATATCCTGCAGTGCAGTAGCGCCCGCTACAGCTACACAATCCCGAAGTCAAAAGCTTTTGCCTTAAAACGCAGAAAGGTCCTAATGGAACAATTCTAACAAACACAAGGTTGCCTTCTCTTGGGAAATAAGGGGAGTCAAAATCGATGTCTTGGTACAAACTGTCTAAATTACCAAATAAAAAGGAAAAACTTCAGCAGAGATGTAATTTCAGTCGTTGCATTTGAACCTATTCTTGATGCGTGATAGTGATCAGGTAATTTGTCAATTCAATCTCGGGAAATTCGCCACACAGTAGACACCGATTTGGTTGTGCGCCCAGCAGAAGCTGCAGTAAGACGGTTATAGTTCGCACCCGCCCACAGAAGCTTGGAATCCGTTCGTGGATTAGTTCATTGTTTTAACGATTGGATGCTTTCTGTGAAACTCATTTCACACTACTTATAATTATTATGCACCGTGCTTATTAAGGATATTCCAAGAGTTACTATGTGGATACGATTATCAGAGACCAATTAAAGTTTTTATTTAGAATGACGGCTTTGAAAACCCCAATGGGACTTCTCAAAGAATTAGTGCGTGCTGAGAAAGTAGCGCTCCTTTACCTTGATCAATTATCAAACACGAGTAGCTCTCATCCAGATGGATCCTCTGTGGGTACTTACGAGTATACAGCAAGCTTGCACATGAGTTTCCCAATTCCACTGGTCTAAGATAGAGTAATCCTCTCTCACCATTCTTCTTCAACTTGGTTGTTGACATGCAGCTTAAAAGTTCTTTGACTGCCCCTGAAATACTGGGGATCAAAATACTCCTTGTGTGATCGTTTAAAGACACTGGGTACGCGAGTGATATTTCTGCATTTGATGCAGATACTTCAAAGGTTTAAGTCCTTTCAAATGACCTGGATAATCTTGCCGCATGGTTAAGTATGCGCTTCGCACCTGCAACGCGTTAAGTGCTGCTGCAAGACTAAGTGGGATTAAACCAACCCTCGTGCTGACAGACCAGCCGACCGACGTCCTGATTATATCTGCCTCGGTACTTGTATAAAGTAGGTGACGTTGCTTCTCGAACCTATAAGGTCAAGGTAGCTGCTGTTGACCTCCGACACCCGTGTTACAGGCGTGACATCAGTTTGTTTCTCAACGCCACGGTCTACACTTCCATGATCCATTATGCTTTATAGATCAAAGGTGTGCCCCGTACGCGCAGAGGTGGTAAAAAAATGGCTTTGGGAGAAGCATAGATCTGCTCTGATAGTAACATCGGACCGGCAGCAAAGTGTATCAAACGGTTCCAAGAAGGAGATTTTCCACTATCAACGGGTTACTTGCGCTTCATATGTTACGCTGGTTGGGATATGCCAGAGGGCCGTCTACACCGCAGAGCTATTTCCGGCTAGCCTTGTGCTGGTTGGAAACTACCGATGGGTGTACGGTCTGTGAAGACGATGTATGAAAGTCTGATCAGTAAACGCAGTGAGGTCAACAACTGTCACTTCCTTAGATGAAGACCCCGGAATGAGACCCACCAATGGTTGGTGATACTGGCAGGCACGGCTTGGTCACAGTTAGTGGCCCTCCCATACCAGTGTCGCTTTCTCTTTATTGCGTGACGCTTCCCGTTTCTTCAGACATCTAGGATGATTCAGTAAGAACTAACTGATCACGCCACAGCCTAACATGACCAAGAATCCTTTGTTCCTACACTTTCCGGTAACCGTAACTGCATCAGGTGGAACCATTGTATACTTTGTACATGGATTGTGGTTAATGCACTGGACTGGGTGAGACGGGTCAGTGGATAGAGCGCGAATTTATTGACCTGAAGGTCCGTGGTTCCAACCCGACTTCTGCATCTCGACTTCTCCTGCCTAGGCTTGGGCAACTTGGCAGTATCTCAGCCCTCATGCTTCCTTCAGGTGGCATGGCAGCTAGGCACTGGGAGGTGTTACAGCCGAACATTTTTTTCAATGCACTGAACTGAATTGGAATTTCTGCGATTCGTTCTAGGTAACCTGTAGTGAGTGACAACGAAACCACACACTGAAAGCTACTAGAAATTCGTATTTCTCACTCAATTGGATGATATCCTGAAAGTCTACTTGCGAAAAGCCACGTTTGTTTTCCCATGCTAGTGATAATTCTGTTCGGTGAGTTTACGTTCTACTGGGCCTGTGAGTAGTCCTCCTTCCATTCTTGGTTAAGCTCTTGACAACTAATTATGACACGCATGAGATATGAATTATGGAATATTGTTTTGATTTGATCGTTATCTTACTCACCCGTGATAGCAGGTCCGTTGCATCAACGATATCTTTGAGGTACACATATAACTTGCCTTGAGTGAGACTTAGATATTCATTATTGCGTAACATGGCAAACTTTTCATTTGTCAAGTGAGACTGGTTTTCTCGAATTTGGTCTTGGGATTTCATGTGTCAATGTATGCTTAATTACATAGGAGAGAGAAGGCGAACCGTTTGGTACCCTGGGTTCCGATGATCTCATAAAAATCCGAGGATCGACCGTCTATATTTATTATACCCCCAAATACTAGAGTGATTCATGACGAAATAAGCGATATACTTATCCAAAATGTATTCCAAGGGCAAAGGTGACGCTTTATTTGCATTTCTAGTCTCCTTCCAAACCTGCCTCCCACCTAAAAAAAGTCGGCAATCCACTCATCTTTGGGAATGGTAGACAAGCATACGCTTCCATGAGCGTCAGGGAAACCAGCTGCGTTTCTTTAGTCCTGGTAAGGGAGCACTGAGGCATTTGTAAACCAGTATTTTTCATGCTCAGTATCATCTCCTTTCTCCCTATCAATATCAGTCACATCAGTGTAAAAAAGTTTTTTTTACTGAAATACAAGCCCAACCGCCCGCTTCTTGGGTCCAACGTGACTTTGAGACTTTTACTGAGTAACTGTTGTTTTGAATGCCGGTTGGCTATAATTGGCTGCTACTAACCCTAAACGTGAACAAAAGTTTTTAGCTACAAACACTGGACTAATCTATTCACACCTGTGAATTATTATTGCGATTACCGGAGATTTGGAATACCAGGAAGGTAGAACTTTTCTTTCCGATGTGGTGGTTCAACGGAATAGAGAACTACGGAATATCCTCCTGCGAACTGTGAGTGAAGAATTACTTGGATTTTTCTCTTTTTGACTTTGTGACTGGCTTATTTGTTCTGTTCAATAGAGACTCCATAGAGCTGCTAACCACTACAGCACCAATAGACCGTTTAGTGAATCGGCGTCGTATTCAACCGAGTACTTCAAGATCGAACTCCATGCCCGTCGGCAATACCGGGTCATTCACGGGTTCACTTGCGCGGCTAAGCATTTCAGACGTCTGTCCATACTGAGCGGAGGGCTTAAAGTCGGCTGTGGCTTGAATCTGAAAGCTTCCGGTAGCGGACACCTCGCCAGTCTTGCCCAACGAATGCAACACATTGCGCACCAAAATTTTTTGGTCAGCGGGACAGAGATCACCACTTGCGTGGAGGCAAGTTAGTGTGCCTCAAAATGATGCAATCAACCGGAAAAGCAACGCGTGTATTAGTGGTAATTCTAATACTGTACGCAAATCATGAAAGTTTATAGCGAGTGGAAAAATCCGAATTGCTTAAAAAACGATAATTTCAGCGGGCACTTACGTCCAGCCTCATCTGTCTTCAGTATGCTTTTTGCAGGTTGCCCTTTTCTACACGCCATTGCATTTTAAATAAGACGCAACAAGTCCAGCATAGCGTTGCGCACTCAGCAGTTAACCAAACTGAATCCTCGCAAGTGATTGGTCAGCAAATTGTCACGTGATACGGTTATGTCGTACGTCCTGAATAGGAACATTTCGAGCATCGAAACAAGTCACCGGAAGCGTGCTACACTGAATTTCTCTGCATAAAGGCATTGGTAAGAACATTATCTTGCATTACTAACTAAACTAGTCTTCGTACACCGGAGTCCAAGTTCTTAGTTTGCATAACGCCATTTGCCAAAAAAACAGTTAAGAGTACATCGGGTAAGATAGCTACCAATCAATGCGTGCAAGTGAAAACACGATTGGACAGAACGTTAACAATACGGGCTTACTACAAATGGACTACTGGTTATGTGAAATATATTGTCCCCTCTTGAGATGATGAGGTTTGGCTTCTAGTTATAGGCGAACAAAATTAAAGTACAAACCTATCATCTTGAACCGACCCTTAAGTGCATATCTCCTTCATTTTTTATCGATGTGGCACAATCCATTTCACGAACTAAAAACGTCTTTCAAATAGTCAGCAATTGGCCAATCAGGTTGCTCGATTAGTCCGCTACCGAATGCCCCAACGTCTAGACGAAAAAATGTGACAACATCAAAGTATCGCCAACCGGTTAAAACGCAAGGTGGCCTAGTAAAACAAATTGCCCGCCATCATCCCGTGGATATTGTCGACTTCCGAAGTCGGCACACATGTAGAAACCTGTAGGGCGCGGGATACTTTAGATAGTCCAAATTTACTCCTTGAACACTAGGCCAGGAACCGAAATGACTGCAGAGCTGTGAGAAATCACATGAGTTTTCCAGCGCTGACCACTCTGTAACTAATCCGCCGACTTCAGTCGTTCGCTGACCTTGAACAGCAGGATTCCACTGTCCATACTCCGCCGCCGGAAGCTGTCTTCAGTCCCTTCCCCCTACGTACAAAGCCCCCGTTAACTGCTTTCTTCGGTCCCTGGAGCCATATATGCAGGTAAGGGGTCTCATTGTCTGAAGCAAATGGCTGCAGCGTTATCCGGGCGTCCCCTGCCCGGATTGTCTCGAGATCAGTCTTCCGACAGTTGTGAGCTTACTGAGCCTTGCACAAAGGGGTCTTCCATTGTTTCAAGGTGACCGAATGTTCTCTCTGCACATAGGTCCCTTTCGCAGTGTCGGATGGCTTCTAGAAGATGTACCATCGTCTGCTTTGGTTTATCGAAATCTTTTATTGGCTGGCGGGCGCATTCTCTGTGGTGTTAGATCTGGAACTCAAGTAGTTGTCCGCTTGTCGCTGGATTGGTGCACTTGTGGCGTTTTGTACCTTTATTTTGCTTCCATTATAACACTACGTATTTCGTCAATTGCAAAATCGTATTTTGTTTGCATACGAAAAACTACAAAAACGTGCAGTTGGACAGTTTCACAGAATACAAGCGAGGTCACGTACTTCGACTTTCTTTTCTGATTTCGCTCGCGCTTGCAGAGGTCATTCGCGAGTCTCATGTGCTATGGTATCAAAACATTTCACCCTTCTCCGGAACCTATAATATGTGGGAACTTCAGTAGAAGACCCCTGGACCAACATAATTGAATTATTGTTTATTCACCGACTTTTGGTGCGTTGTACCATCTGACCTCTTCATTGTTGTATACACAAACCAGCGTCATTATTTTTATTTCTTTTCCACATACTCCCGGTATGCTAACCTATTGGGTAGCCAGAACACTAATACTCCCTCTCCAAAAGAGAAGCCGTTCTTACTGGTTCATTTTTTAACTTAACTCTGTTTGGATTTAAAATATCGGAAAAGCTAGTCCCATGTTATTTCACTTCCCTTAACTTAATAAATTTTGTAACGATCGAACCGTATCTTCGAGTGACGCGTAATACAGTCCGCTTGCAAAAGTGCAAAGCAAGGGAGCAAACAGGCCCCAACATGCGACAGTCACACGTGCAAAATCAGATACAAATGGCCGGATGGGATGAAGGCCAAAATGGGTGAAGTGGTAAGGACAAACAAACGTCAGTTCATATATACACACTAAACACAAAAATGGGGCGGGGGTTACAAATGGGGGCATAATAAACGTGGGGAATTTCATTGTCAACATAACGGATGATACACCGCCCGCCAAATTCTCCACGTTGATACAGCGGGCGCCCCGGTTCTTGCCTACTACCTACGCTCAGCTCCAATCTACGGTACCCCATCAGCCACCGACACGAATGGTCCGAGTCCACTCCTGCCACAAGTGCCGACTTCGATGGTGTACAAGCCTATTCGCGTCCCTCCAGTAAACACACCTTTCTAATATCTCTCTTAAGAACGCCGCCCGCCGTTCTAACATGCAGGGTTCTTACTAAGCCATCAGGGCTCGCCTCACAACTATCTACTACCCCTAGAGGCCATTTCTCACGAGGCAGGTCCTCACCAGAAACCAGAACTAAGTCCCCTCGTTTCAATTCTTGAGTTGCTCTGAGCCACTTGGTACGCATCTGCAACGTTGGCAGATATTCCCTTATCCAACGACGCCAGAATACGCCAGCAAGATAATTGACCTGTTTCCAACCGGCATGGTATCGCGAAGCCAAGCCGTCGCGACCGGGTACCGCAGGACAGCACTGCATCAGCAACAAACTGTTTGGAGTAAGCGGCTCCAAATCGTTGCTGTCTGATGATAGCGGGACTATAGGCCTGTTATTGAGAATCCGTTCGGCCTGTATGAGAAGCGTGTTCAGTTGTTCATCGGTCAAACACTGTTCCCTACATATACATAAAAGTATACGTCGTACCGACCTGATTATACGCTCCCACACACCGCCACGATGGCTAGCTGCTGGTGGATTGAAGTGCCACTGTATATCCATAGTCAAAAGTCGGTCTGATATTTTGCTCAGGCTCCAGAGCTTTATATCATCCCGAAATTCCCTCAGTGCGCCAACAAAGTTCGTACCATTATCACTGTATATATCGGTGGGCTTACCACGTCTACCAACGAAGCGCATCAAACATTGTAGGAATGAATCTGTCGACAGGTTGCCAGCCATCTCCAAATGGACTGCTCTAGTTTTCAGACAGCTAAAGATACAGCCGTAGCGTTTTTCCTGTGAACGGCCGCGTTTGGTTTTAAAAGGTCCGAAGTAGTCCACTCCCACACACTCGAAGGGGCACCAACCCCCTTCTACTCTGTCTGGTGGTAATGGAGCCATCATTTGTTTACTGAGCTGTGCGGACCGGCGTCTGCATAAAGAGCATGCACCAATCACACGTTTAACGGCACCGGTCCCTCTGATAATCCAATATCTCTGTCGAATAGAGGCCAAGACATGCGCTACTCCACAGTGCCCTTCCACTTCATGAAAATGACGTATGATTAAGGCGGTAATAGGATGTCGGTTTGGAAGAAGAGCTGGATGCTTTACTGACTGACTGTAGTTCGAGTAACTAAGTCTGCCCCCCACGCACAAAATGCCATCAACCAAAACAGGTGACAATTTTTGTAAGCTGCCGTTTTGAGTCCGATTGCGGGAACGCTTTGCATCCAGTACAGGAGCGTTAATCTGATGCAGCTCTCGTGCAAAGTGAGCAGATTGCACCATCTTTATCAAACAATTACGTGCTTGGCGGAGTTCGGATACTCTGATAACCCCAGAAGGTAAAGCCTCCTTTCTCGCTCTGCCCTTCTTAATCAATAGACGTTGCCCGTAATGCAGTAACCAAGCCACGACCTTCGGTAGCTTCATCCAACAGGAGGACCAAGACATTAATGGGCACATGACATCATTTCCCTCCCGTCGGTTAGCCTGTGCTACAAGGCTCTTCAGAGCGTCTCTATCACAGGGGTCAACCTTGACCTGTAGCAACATCCCTTTAATGTCGGCTGCCACAGCAACTTGCTCTAAACGAAAGCCCACCATAACATTTACAAGTTTTGTGGTTAAATCGGGGCCCTGATACAGGTGGTCGTTTAGGGACACACCATGACATTTGGCAGCGCAGTCAGATACGATCCGAATCTTTTCTGGCTTTTTTGGGTTAATAACCTGATGATGTGGGAGATACCACTGCTTTGAATTTAATGACAATGTGGAGGCATCCGCCGCCCGTTCAATGTATCCTTTCTCCATGTATGCGCGAAGCACCTTATCGTACTTTCCGTGTAAAACACGATCCTTGCACAGTCTAGTTTTCAGATTACCTAGACGTTTTCTAGCCACCTGGAAGTTATCGGGTAGGGTAAGTGCGTTATCTTTCCATGGGAGCGGTAGCTGATAATGCCCACTTACTCGCACTGCACTAGTCTCCGCTATCAACAGTGCTCTTTGATCCTCTAAAGAGAGACTAGTGTTCGATGCTGAAGTGTCTGCGAATTCCGAGTTGTACAGTCGCTGCAAATGCTCCTGGATGCCCTGACTACACCCGGTTATACAATGACTGACGACCTTCTGCTTCGTTCCGTTTTTCATCGGACCAAGGAGCATCCAACCTAGTAAAGTTTTCACAGCAAACGGCTGTTTTTTACCCCCCAGGCGCTGGTCGAAGACCCAGTGCGCTTCGGATACGTCACAACCAATAAGGATTCCCACATCGTCTTCAGTCAGTTCGTCGAAGGTAACTTCCTTAAGGTGAGGCCACTTGCGAGCCGCTTCTTTGATGGATGGGACAGCTCGCATAGGTAAGCTGTCAACGACGAATGCCTTGTCAACATCTATCGACTGGCTTTCATCCATTGATAAAAGCCTGATATCATTAGCTTCCGATGTGCATCCCATGGAACCACCCAGGGTATCAATAACCATAGACGTGGGTAGCAGCCTGACCCCATTTTTCACCAAAAGGTCCCGCCTTACCAGCGTTATGTCGGACCCAGCATCTAAAAATGCATACGTTGTCACCTTTCCTGCAGGACTGTCCAGCTTGATAGGAATAACTCCTAAGCGTGCCGGAAGTCGACTACCTTGAGTTAAGGCACACAAAACCTCCGGCTCTGAGGACGTCGAACCTTTGTTTCTGGGTTG